GATTGAGTAGATATACTCAAAACCCGAGTCATGATCATTGGAATGCATTAGTAAGAGTAATGAAATATTTGAGAGGTACCATGAACTATGGTATTAAATATAGTGGATTTCCCACTGTACTAGAAGGATACAGTGATGCTAACTGGATCTCTGATTCAGATGAGACAAAATCCACTAGTGGTTATGTGTTCACCCTCGGTGGGGGTGTTGTGCCATGGAAATCAGCTAAACAAACTACAATAGCTAGATCTACCATGGAATCTGAGTTTGTGGCATTGGAATTAGCTGGCAATGAGGCCGAGTGGTTAAAGAACCTTTTGGCGAGTATTCCACTAGGAATTAAACCGACACCTTCTGTGTCGATGCATTGTGATTGCCAAGCTGCAATAGCCATTGCCAAAAATAAATCCTTTAATGGGAAGAGTAGACATATCCGATTGAGACATAATGTGATAAAGCAGCTGCTGAAAGATGGAATTATTTCCATAGATTATGTGAAGTCAGAAGTGAATTTGCCCGATCCTCTGACTAAACCTTTGGGAAGAAAATTAATATCTGAAACATCGAGGGGAATGGGACTTTTGCCAATTTGAGTTATATCAACTATGATGGTAACCCAACCTATGTGATTGGAGATCCCATGAAGTAGGTTCATATGGGTAATAACAAGTCATTAGTTGATCAAGTGTGCACTATTAAATTATGTCCCTTCCTATGGTGTGTGTATATATATAGTGCAAAACTGCAAGGAATGGGAGGTTGAGTTATTAAACTCTTAATCTAATAATCCATAGCCTTTATAGGTGGTGTATTGTGCTGCATAATACACTTGATGGATGGACCTATATGAGTGTGGAGTGGGGCCGCTTCTATGAAATTTGTGGCAAAATTTCTAGAGCACTCATGAAAACCAGGCGCGCGCATGGCCTATTAGCGCAAAACCGCGATAAACAACAAAGTATGTGCGTGTATAATGTGATATATAAGACACTAAACTTACAAAAGAATTCTTGGTTCATAGAAGTTCTAAACTTCACCAATTGTTCTGTAAGTTTAATCTTATTTTATCTAGGTCTGGTTCATAGTCCAAGAGACACCATATTCGACGCATTATGCTTAAAAACCCAGCAAACTCTTTATTTATTCTATTTTTTTTTAATATTCTTTTTGAGCTATGTGGGGGATTGTTGAGTCAAAAATATTTTAATATCTCAAAAAGAATATTTACAATTATGTCTAGGTTCATTATTTTAAGGCAGAATATCCTGATAGACACTTGTACTTATTCACGTTTGTCATCCCGGTCCCTATACTCAATGAAGTTTCATCCAGACACTTATAGTTATTCAAAATCAGTATTTTAATCCCCTCTCATCTCGCGTGTTCTTCAAATTCCTGACATGAATGACACATCAGTGTCCACGTCAGATTTTTTTGACACATCATCATTAATTTATTTCTCATATTTAAAAAAATAAAATCATTCCACCATCTCCTCTGCCACCTTCTTTATTCCCCACCATTTCCTTTACCTTTACCAACACCTTCAAAATAATGTTAGGTTACAAATAATCAAGAGAATAAACTCATAAAATTTTCTGTATTTAGCCCCAAATCGTAAAATTGCCTAACGACCAAAAGCACATGCCATTAGAAATAACCAACCAAAAGACTATCATCACCAAAAACTTCACCCAAAACTTTTGAAATTTCGCTACAGATAAACTTGTCGTAAACATATTCCATCACCGATCTTCTTCCACTATATTTATTTATTTTCTTTGCAAAAGCTCATCTTAAAAAGTTGGGGAATGGGGATGTGGGAAAGAAATTTTCCCAAAAAATGCTGCTAATCTAGCGATGATTTCGGATGTCTAGGGATGCTATTGATTGATGAAGAGGTGGCGGAGGAGGGCTATGTTGCAAATGATTTTTTGGGTTAAAATGGGGGAGGAGGGATACCATGAAGATAAAGAAGAGGGTGGGTGGGTGGGGGGGGGGGGGCAGAACGTGAAAGAGAAGAAGCACTCTTCTTTCACTTTTAATTTATGTTTGCATTTTCTTTTTCTTTTTTTCCTTATTTTAATCATTTTTGGTTTAAATATATATGTTCACGCTCCTTATACGCGTGCAATACACGTATTTGGTCAAATTCAGCCGTTAAGTTGCCACATAGACTTGGTCAACGGTCAGAAGGGTTTAAAATACTGACTTTAAATAATTATAAGTGTCTAGATGAAACTTTGTTAAGTATAGGGACCGGGATGACAAACGCGAACAAGTATAAGTGTCTACCAGTCTATTCTGCCTTATTTTAATATAATCTTGATAGTATTGTAACTGAAAGAATATTTTCAATTAACAATCTAATTTTAACGGTTTGGCAATTGATGGCGGCTTTCAATGCNGCATGAAAATTATAAGAGATGGCAATAGTTTGATGTTGACTCAAGAACATTATGTTGAAAGAATTCTTAAAAAATTTGATAATTTTGATGTGGTACCTGTAAGCACTCCTTATGATGCTAGTAGTCAATTAAAAAAGAATAAGGGAGATGGTTTAGATCAAAATAAATATGCTCAAATAATTGGTAGCCTAATGCATTTGATGAATTTTACTAGACCTGATATTGCATATGCTGTGTGTAGATTGAGTAGATATACTCAAAACCCGAGTCATGATCATTGGAATGCATTAGTAAGAGTAATGAAATATTTGAGAGGTACCAAGAACTATGGTATTAAATATAGTGAATTTCCCACTGTACTAGAAGGATACAGTGATGCTAACTGGATCTCTGATTCAGATGAGACAAAATCCACTAGTGCTTATGTGTTCACCCTCGGTGGGGGTGTTGTGGCATGAAAATCAGCTAAACAAACTACAATAGCTAGATCTACCATGGAATCTGAGTTTGTGGCATTGGAATTAGCTGGCAATGAGGCCGAGTGGTTAAAGAACCTTTTGGCAAGTATTCCACTAGGAATAAACCGACACCTTCTGTGTCGATGCATTGTGATTGCCAAGCTGCAATAGCCATTGCCAAAAATAAATCCTTTAATGGAAAGAGTAGACATATCCGATTGAGACATAATGTGATAAAGCAGCTGCTGAGAGATGGAATTATTTTCATAGATTATGTGAAGTCAGAAGTGAATTTGGCCGATCCTCTGACTAAACCTTTGGGAAGAAAATTAATATCAGAAACATCGAGGGGAATGGGACTTTTGCCAATTTGAGTTATATCAACTATGATGGTAACCCAACCTATGTGATTGGAGATCCCATGAAGTAGGTTTATATGGGTAATAACAAGTCATTAGTTGATCAAGTGTGCACTATTAAATTATGTCCCTTCCTATGGTGTGTGTATATATAGTGCAAAACTGCAAGGAATGGGAGGTTGAGTTATTAAACTCTTAATCTAATAATCCATAGCCTATATAGGTGGTGTATTGTGCTGCAGAATACACTTGATGGATGGACCTATATGAGTGTGGAGTGGGGCCGCTTCTATGAAATTTGTGGCAAAATTTCTAGAGCACTCATGAAAACCAGGCGCGCGCATGGCCTATTAGCGCAAAACCGCGATAAACAACAAAGTGTGTGCGAGTATAATGTGATATATAAGACACTAAACTTACAAAAGAATTCTTGGTTCATAGAAGTTCTAAACTTCACCAATTGTTCTGTAAGTTTAATCTTATTTTATCTAGGTCTGGTTCTTAGTCCAAGAGATACCATATTCGACGCATTATGCTCAAAAACCCAGCAAACTCTTTATTTATTCTATTTTTTTTAATATTCTTTTTGAGCTATGTGGGGGATTGTTGAGTCAAAAATATTTTAATATCTCAAAAAGAATATTTACAATTATGTCTAGGTTTATTATTTTAATATAATCTTGATAGTATTGTAACTGAAAGAATATTTTCAATTAACAATCTAATTTTAACGGTTTGGCAATTGATGGCGGCTTTCAATGCTTTTACGTTTTGCATTCTTGACATTGAATTTTTAATGATTTGTTTGTCAGTGAATTCTTGCTTGATCCTTTCTTTTACGTTATATTTTTGTTATTAACGTATAGTAAGTTAAAAAGCCATTATGGCTTGGAAATGATTTTAACTTTGAAGCATACGTTTCTGAAGGTTTTAAAAAAGCCTTTATGGCTTGGACAGTTTTATATATCAGAGTGTGCATTTTCTTGCACTATATATGCTTCTTCGGTTTTACATAGAAGAGAGTGAAAAATAATAACAACTTTTCTTCTTCTTTCTATGGTGCTGAGTTTTCTTCTTATAAATCTTTGTTGTTTCTGCTCCTAGTTATACTAGAAGAACTTGTTGAATCCTGGGGAATACGCCTAATATTATTTATCTCGGTGTGGGCGAAATATCCTTAAGGACAGTGTCCTTGACACGCCTCAAGCTAAACTTTTTATTCTCCATATTCATCAAATTTTTCCGACAGGTTTTTCGTCCAAATAAGAGTTAGCACTTGAATATTTAATTGTTGTTTCTTGCTTTATAACAATTAAAAGTTCGGTAATCTTTGACATATTATTGAATTGATCATGCTGTCATTTCAAGATGAGAAAAGATAGTTATACAACGTCTAAAATTTCACATAGTTTTAACATATATTCCTTTTAGCTTTAAGCTCTGCATACTTTTACTTCTTTTCCGTTCTAATCCTTTTACTTCTTGAGAAAAGGCCTAGTCTTTATACGTTTTTCACTGTGTAAAAAATATAAAAGAGCTAAATGAACACTGTCCATGCAACTATGACAACACATCAGCGAGTTCATCCTTACAATTGAGCTATCTTCAATATATTAGTACCTTAATTAATTTAGTTTAACCAAATCGAGTAGAATGTCTTTGGGGAGAACAACAACAAACAAACAAAAAAACAATTTATACAAAGACAAGTTGTAAAGCTGCAATGGTGATGGATTTTAGACAAAATCACAAACATATAGATTATAGAAGTATGATAAATCAAAATTGTACCAAACAGGCAGGTGCTGTTGCAATTTATTTATAAGTTAGTACCACAGCGCACTAGCAGGCAGCAAAGTTGTCACAAGACCAACTGCTGTAACACACGTTATTCTCACTATTTTCCTCCTAAGGAAATATTCGTGTTAGGAAAACAAAATACAATAAACTGTATGGTAGAAACAACAATGTAATAGCACTGGTAAGGAAACTACAATGTAAACTTAATAGTAGTTGCTACTCAATTTCAAATTCCCAACTGGCATTGCACTTCTAAGATGGTCTTAGCAGAGTTCTTAAGTTGCTGAGTTTCCTCATCAGTAAGATGTACATTCGTCACGCCCAAAACGCCACTTCTACCGAGCTGTGCAGGCAAGCTCAAGAACACATCTCCACCATCAATGCCATAGAAGCCCTTTGCGAGGACAGAGACAGGGTGAATCCGTCTTTGACCGCGAAGGATGGTTCGAGCCAAGTTAGCAACAGAGTAGCCAATTGCCCATGATGTGTAACCTTTCAGACCAATTACTTCATATGCACACTGCACAACTTCCTTGTGGATTGTTTCCAGTGTTTCCTTTTCTAAGGCAATTTGTTGCCTTTCCAGAAAGCTAAGAACTGGAACTCCTCCCACACTAATGCCTGACCATAGTGCTACAGAGCTGTCACCATGCTCCCCAACAATGTATGCCTAGCATATATAGTCATCACATATATTACATATTCCGCTTAATTAAACCAATACAAAAAGAATATCACACTTATATCTTATTGTATTAGAGTTTACAAGGAGTAGTATAAAATATAAAGTCGCTTGCGCCAAAAGAAAAAAGAATAAGAATTTTTTTTAACATGGATGTATGTATATTTTATGTAAATAGGTATTGGGGGCAAGGAATTTTTTTTAACATGGATGTATGTATATTTTATGTAAATAGGTATTGGGGGCAAGTATACAGACATTCATTCTTTAGCCAATACTTATTTTGTCCTGAAATTTTAAACTAAAAATCTCAACTTCAAAACAATTCAGCACACTTTTATCCCAAAAAATTAAACTAAAAAACTAAAATTCACGACTCATTGCTATTCCTAAATAGCAGCTCTTTAGTGCCTTCTGACCCATTGTCCAACAACTAAAAAAAATCACCAATTCACATTATAACTAACATAAGGCATAACTTAAGACCAAATACAAACATTTAAAGGAAGGAAAATGATGCGCTCACCTGGACATCCTGGGCATTAACATCAAGATGATCAGCAATCAAAAACCGAAACCTAGAAGAATCCAAATTCGTTCCAGACCCGATAACCCGATTCGCCGGAAACCCAGACAACTTCCAAGCAACATAAGTCAGCACATCCACCGGATTCGAAACAATCAAAAGTATAGTCTCGGGCGAGTACTTCACCAGCGGAGGAACAATACTCTTAAACAGAGCCACATTCCTCTGCAACAAATTCAACCTACTCTCACCCGGATTCTGTCTGGCACCCGCTGTAACAATACAAAGATCCGACCCGGCAGTAACAGAGTAATCAATTGACGCGTGGATTTTAGTACGGGGCAAAAAGGCAGCTGCGTGCTGAAGATCAAGCATTTCGCCTCGGAGCTTGTCGGATTTAGCATCAACGAGTGCGAGTTCGTCGGCGAGGTCTTGGGTTAGAATAGTTTGAGCAATGGCCATGCCGACGTTACCGACGCCGATGACGGAAATTTTAGTGTGGCGCTTTGTTGGTGATGGAGGGGCAGTATTGGAAATTGACTTGAAGAAAGTTTGGCTTAGGTCTAGACCACCAGGACCAAATGATGAAGATGAAGTAGTCTTCTGCATGGTTAATTTCTTGTGTGTAAAGAAAAGATTATTTTCTATGTGAATGGGTGCTGTTTGAGTAGAGATATTAAGCTTGGTGTTTTAGGTGATTTCGTTCTGAATATATGAGGCAATATGATAGTTATATAGAGAGAGGTTAAAGAGACTGACGAGGGAAAAGGGAAAAGAAATGGGAAGTTGGTGTGTTTGATTTTTCAACGGTCAATCTTCCAAAATGTTTTGGGAAAAAAGGATTTTCCAAGAAGACCTACTTTTCTTTACTTTTATTACACCTCGTGTCCAAAATAAGTAATTCTTCAGTTGTTTTTACACAGAATAAGAAATTCTCCTTTTAACATTAATTAGCAATAAAATTGATCATATTAACCTTTATTATCTCTTCACATAATCACTCCTAACACATACTCCAACACTATTTACTCCAAGGGCAATGTAGGAAAAAAATAATTAATTCATTCTTGAAATCTGAAAAAATCACTTATTTTGGACCGGAGGGAGTATGGATTTAAGTTGTACTTCCTCCGGTCCACAATAAGTGACCAATTTATTTTGACCACACCCATTAAGGAAATACTAAATTCTAGACAAAAATAGTTAGTGTGACTAAATTACCCTTAATTAAATATTGCAGCAATTTAATGTAAGGCGTAAAAGACTTTTTAGGAATACGTACATAAGGGTAATTTTGAAAAAAATAAATTAAATTTTTTCTTGATTATATAAATTACCTTTTTATTTTGGATCAAAATAAAAAGGTAAATTGGTCACTTATTGTGGACCGAAGGGAGTATTATATAATTGTTATCGTAGATTATTTATCATTTATTTTGTTATCAATTAATGTTGTTGCATAAAGTTATTTATAAATAGTTTTTAAATAACTGATTTTATAAGTATATTTTACACCGGTATCATTGTATACAAGTTAAACCCATGAACTTATGTCTTAAATAAAGAACAAAACCTTGCTTTTGGAAGAAATGGATCCAACTTGAAGTTGTGAATGGGATTAGAAGATTTGAGAGTAAGGCGGTACATTTTTAATTTTTTATATTTGGTGACTTATAATGCGGTCATTTGTTCCATGATTAATGCTTCAAAAAACTAAGGGTAGTTTTAGGGTATGTTCCATGATTACTCTAACTACTCCTATTAGATTTGTTGAAATTAGTGATAGACCAAATGGACGAACGTCGCTTATTGAGGCATTTTGAAAAGAAAATATTTATGTAAACAACTAGTTTATAATCTATCTTCAGATAAATGTACCGATAACTCAAGTATTACAATTCAGTGTCACGAGTTCAAATTAAAATAATCTTTTAGATGCGGAGTCAAAAATTTAAACTTAATGAGATTATAGTTCTTTTATGTTATTAGGTTCTTATTATTAGTTTAGATATATTTTGAAAAATTTTCATAAAATACTATAGTGTAAAGCCTAATTACCATAAGTAATTATAGTTTATCTATTATCATTTATAGCTATTATTCGATTGTTATCAGCTTGTATCAATCATATTCATTCGCTCTAAATTTATGTATCAACGTATACAGTACACTGAAATACAATGATATATACAGTTATTGTATGATCACTGTGTGATTCCATACGCTGTATACACTGTGTTTATATTGCTACAAAGTATAAGGAGTAGCTAATTAATTGTATAAGTTAGTTATACCACGTAAGTTTTTCTTTAATGAATTTTATAAGATAAATACATGAACCTAAGATATACTATGTTCGAGTGAATCAGTAACCCGTATTTTTTTTTTCTTTTTTTTCTTTTTTTTACATTCCCTTTAACTAGTCATAATTCGTGCTTTTGAATATAATTTAAAAGAAGAGTTTTTGAGTAATATACATGACAGAGGACAAAGTTTTTACCTTATTAATCCTCTTTAGGTTACATCACCTTCTTACTCTATTTCTAAAATATAACCATATATCTTGCTTGAAAATAAAATTTTACTTGTTCTTATAGATAGATTATTTAACCTAATAATATAAATGCTTTTTTACTGTTAGTGGACAAATAGTATAAGTTATTAAACAAGCCCCAATTTTCCAAATAGTGGTGTAAGCTAATAAAGACGACTGTCCAGAAAAGTTAGACAATTAATATAAGTCGTTGCTAGACATTATTGTGGTGATTTCTTGCTACCCACTTCAAGAAAACTCACGTCAAATGCTAATAAAAGAATTGACTTATCTCACAAGAATTTCCATTTTATTCCAGAAGCTTACTATGGAGTATATGCTTTACACCTACGAGAACAGATGGAATTTCCATTTCCAATATCCGTCTGATCAAGACTAAGTATAACAATATTGTATTCTTCATCATATCTTGGAAAAAATATTTTTGACTCCGTAATATAATAACGTTTCCGTTTCTTGAAAATTAAGGAGAAAAAATGTAATTTTTTTTTCCTTTTAGCCCTCAAAAGTTGTGTAGTTTTACTACTTTGACCATGTCCCTAAAATAAATAAAGATATTTTCTTCATTATGCTGAAAATACAAATAAAGTTTTTTTTTTGGGGGGGGGGTGGGGGGGTGGGGTGGACTTGTATTTATTTCCTTGCTTAATTATTCTTCGAAAAAAGTTCCGTAGTCTAATTAAATACTATATCTATATACTATATTAAAAGTATGAAGGCCCTTAGCGAAATGTCCTTCGCCTTTTTTACCCTTTAAAAATAGAGTTCACATTGGATAAAATAGTAATTTAAATATTTTTCTAATATGTAATAATGATCATTTAATTATTTTTCTAATATTTAGGACATTGAAATCAACTATAATTCTGATTATTAAAATTTTCCATAGTTGAATTATGTAGAGAATCTTCATATTTAGGATTCTAAAAGCAATTAAATTTTATTTTATATAGGTTTCCTTATTTCAAGCACACTAATATTAAAGTTGTAGTAAATTATAATTTTTTTTTAATTAAAACTTAGAAATTAAGAACTTATATTTGTACTACATTTTTTCCGTAGATTAGCAGTACTTTAAAGCTACTAAAAATAGGTAAACTACATTAAAATATTATTTCATATTTGCCTCTGAAACTAACCGCTCTCTCGGCGCACTTTAGAGTGCATGTGCTAAAGTACGCCGACAGCCATGGGGAGGGGACGACCAAGGAAAAACGCGACTGTAATTCCGATGAGTGATTGCGCATGTACGAGTAATCCACAACCAACTGAAGTTCTGAGCAGAGATCTAGGAAAAAGCTTAATGGAGCAGTGGCCACCATTGTCAACTGGGACGGATGCTGTCAAAACTCCATTAGAGAAGATCGAAAACAGTACGAAAGTGACAAGTAACACTCCGATGATACATGCAAGTGCAAATACTAACAAATTGGCTACTAATGGGCAAAACTCTATGGTTGAATTGGGGGAAGCAGGGGATGCAGGGAAGGTAACTCATCCTCAAAAGAGGCTACCTGATGATGAGACTGGGGAAGGTCAGAAACAGTGGGCAAATCTATTTGCGGGCTCGAATTATGCGGCTAAAGGTATGGATCTAAACTTCATCGCACCTACTGTTAAAAATGGCGAGATAACTGTGGAACTATGTAAGGACGAGATAGAGGAAGAAACTCAGAAATGGAAACTAGCATTAATATTGTATGTGGTTGGAGGCAGTCAAACAATAGGAGCCATGGAGAGGTACATTGCTTCAGTGTGGAATTTTGTTGCTAAACCTAAGGTGTACTTTCATAACGATGGCTATTTTGTGGTTCGGTTTAATTCAATTGAAGATAGGGATGCAATTTTATACTCAGGGCCACACATGTTAAATAACAAGCCTATAATTGTCAAAGTATGGTCGGCTGATTTTGAATTCACTAAAGAGGTACTCCAAACAATACCAATATGGGTGAAATATCCTAACCTGCCTTTGAATTGCTGGGTCAAAAGTCACTAAGTAGAATCAGTAGTGGACTGGGAGTTCCCCTCTATGCAGATGCATGTACTACACAAATAGATAGGATCTCATATGCAAGGGTTCTTGTTGAAATGGATGTGACAAAGGAACTTCCTACATATATTAAAGTGGCTGATCCTAATGGTAGGGAATTTATGCAGGAAATTGCATATGACTGGGTACCAGAGTACTGTGCTAAATGTATGCAGGTTGGTCATCAATGTAGAGTGGCTGATCCTAATGTTCCAAAAGGGAAGAATAAGTATGTAAAGCAGAAACAGGAATGGCAACCAAAAATGACATCCAAAATCCAGGAATCAGCAAAGAATCTAGTGCAGATAAAGGAAACCATAACTGAGAAGAATACTAGTAATAATACAGCAATTGCAAGTACTAGTGCAGGAAGTACAGGAAGTGAAAAGGGGAATGAGGAGCAGTGGCAGACTGTTGTAGGGAAATCAGCAGCTAGAAGTAGAGAAAGACAATCAACTGATATAGTAAATGTTCTCAATGGATTTAATATTCTTGCAGAGTCCAACTTACAGCTAGCCATCCCACTGATAGAGGGAGGAACAGGAAGACAACAGGGTGACACAGGGCAAGAAGCTTTACAATCCCTCTTTATACCTGTATGAGATTAGTAACTTGGAACATAAGGGGACTAAATAAAGCCCCTAGACAAAAAGAGGTTAAGAGGTTCATTTGTAGTAGGAAAATAAGCATGATAGCATTACTAGAGCATAAAATAAAAAAATAGAAGGCTGATCAGGTTATAAAGAAAATTACTCCTGGATGGGCATACCTTGACAATTATGTACATAGTAACAAAGGAAGAATATGGTTGATCTGGGACACAACTAAAATAGAATGCAAGGAGGTGAGTAGTACTGCTCAGACTATTCACACAGTAGTCTATATCAGAAGATTGGATATGAGGTTTACATTTACAGCTGTGTATGGGCTGCATAGTATTGAAGATAGAAGAAGTATATGGAGTGAATTGACTAGGCTGCACACAATAAAACAAGGACCATGGTTGATCATGGGGGACTATAATGCTATCAGATCAATAGAAGATAGGCCTGTTGGGAATGAGGTCAGGAACAGGAAGTGAGAGACTTCAATGAATTTATAGAAAATACTGGAATCACAAAACTAAAGACTACTGGAAGGACATTTACATGGACAAATGGACATACCTATAGCAGAATTGAAAGAGCACTACTGAT